GTCGCCCCTCACCCACTTTTCTGTTATTCATCCCCCTGTACCCATCTTTTCTTAAGGCATCTCAATTTAAAAAAAAAGTGTGTGGGGGGGAACTGCTACATATATTGCAAAAAGCACCAAACAGATGATTGATTCTTAAAATAAAATACAACATACAACTTGACTCACGAGGAAAAGAGATAGGCAGGACTTGGTTTGACTGCCCTGTCTTAAACCAGTATTGGGTAAATTTACGCTGGGATTAAGGAAATTCTTACTTTGGCTTAGCCTTTCTCAGGGATCTATGCAATTCGTAGGCATTAGCCTTTCTCGGGGGCCTGTGTAATTCATGGGCATTGGATTCTTTGATGGTTAGAAATGTTCTAAAGGGTGGCAAAATAGGATTGGCTGCCCATGTTCTGAGAGAGAAATGGAGATTAGAGTCTCATCACGTGAAGTAATACGGCATGTAGTTGTATGCCCTTGAGTGAATTCCAATGCCTTTGGACAGAGTAGAACTGCCACATAGCCTGCAAGGTGGCGATCCGGATGGAAGCAGACTGCCACATCTCCCTCCCACAGCCCTGCTGGGGGACCCTAGCCAACTTTCTGGTTGGCCACCGAGGGCTTCACCACTGCACCCCCAGGATGTCTTCCAAACAGGGTATTAAAGAGAAATTGACATGAATGTTAAAGACTTGTATTTCTTACTTTTTGTTGGTTTCCTTTACTAACTCAAGTCTCAAGGGCTTTAGGATGCTATGAATCTAAGTGGTTTTGTAATTAATAGAAACATCAGAAGGCACAATTGTAGGTAACTCATTAGAAAAAAATGGATACTATAATCAGCAAATTGCAAGACTTCCTTTAGAAAAAAGTGTTTTGTGGTGAACGTGGTGAAGGTTTAGGGAGCAGATCGTTAGTTTTGCATTCACCAATTCATACACGATTTATTGCAACTCCTCCGTTGCAATCCCCTTAAGGCCCCGTCCCTTGTCCTTCTTCCTGGCCATGTGTGTCCAGTTTCCATTCCTCCGTCTTTCCTGACCCTCCTAACTTTGTCCTTTTGGGAGGAAGAGGTTGGCTATTCTAACACAGGAGGGTGGGTTCAGTTCCAGACTTGAAGGATGACTGAGGGCCATCACCTTGGGGGGTCCCACCGTTCTCTACCCAACCAGTACACCTGGCTGTTTTATGATTTTGAGTTCTGTTTCGCACTTTTCTCCTTCTCTGTCTGGGACCTTTGCGATCCTTTTCAGAGCAGTTGTAGTGGCGGCTGGGCACCATCTAGTTCTTCTGGTCTCAGGGTTGTGAAGACTGGGGCTTTGTGGTCCGTTAGTCCATTGGCTTAATTGTTTGCAAATGTCTTTCCATTTTCATCATTCTTCTTTCCCCTGGGTGGGAAGAGACCAATAGCTCCCCCTTCTGTAGCCGCTGACAAGCTTTGAGACCAGTTGCTGTTCACCAAAGCAGGATGCAGCACACTGTGTTCATGAATCATGTTGTGCCAATGGACCTTTGTGTCTTTTGAGACTATGACCCTGACTGACCCATTGCCTCAAGGTGTTTGGTTATGTCTGAGAAGTTTTCATGAATGTGTCCCCCCAAATCTGGAACACTTCATGAACGTGTGTGCCATTCTTGCAAAATAGCAAGATGTCAACGGTGAATTCCGTAACTAGAGAAGCAACACATTTAAACTTATGAAATTCAAATGAAGAGTCTACGACTATCGGTGTCTCAGAGTAATCTGTCATAAAACTTGCCGGCTAAAGTAGCTTTACAACTAGACGAAGGATTATGAGAATCTTAAATTGTTTTGATACCATAGTGTAATAGCTAAGAATCCTATCTGCCTGTGGGCTGGCCACTGCACTGAGCACGTTACAGAGTAGCTCTGAAGTGGTCTCTGCTTCTGAGCCGTGTGTTGCAACCTGGGCTCTCCAGTTGGGTTCCGATCATCGTGTGTCTACTGATAGTACCCAGACCACCTGTGACACTTGTTGAAGCAGGGAGTTAAAATTAATTGCATTCAGGCATTCTAGGAAGCCCTTCTCTGGTAAACAAGGCAATCTGAGTGTTAGAATGTCCACCGAGATCCCTAAAATATATGTCCAAACCCCAAACCCCAACCTGACTGCCGTGGAGTTAGTGCTCACCCATAATGACCTTATAGGACGGGGTAGAACTGCCCTATGAATTTCTGAGATTGTAATTGTTTCTGGGAGTCTTTCTCCCTCAGAGCCACTGGTGGTTTCAAACTGCAGACCTTTGGAATCGCAGCTCAACTCATAACTACGGTGTCACCAGAGCTCCTAAAAGATGTCTAGGTATCTAAAACATCCCAGTCAGCTTCCGGCTCAATTGAACCCCCTTAAAGATGTCCTGGATTCCTGTTTCTACATCAGAAAATCCTATTTTGGACCGGGAATTTAGTAGAAAATGCCGCCTTATGCCTTCTTTACCAGGAGACTAGTTTGAAAATGAAGGACCTCGCTCTGACTTCTAAGTGGTAACACATTATGGTATCCTAACATCTTCTGTTGCTGGAACTGAACAAAGTAGAAAGGATTGTTCACCTCTTATTCAATGTGGCACACCTTTCTAAAATAGCATAACCTAGAAAATGGGAAGAAACCATTGAACATCCTTGAATCAGATTTTTCTGCCACAAAAACAGAAACCGAGAATAGTGTCAGCGTTATTCGGAACAGGGGATTGAGAGAGAGAATGAAAAGCACCGAGTTTCACTGAGTGTTCCAGCCTCTGCTCCTGACGTGCTTCCCCTGGACTGAGCAGACACGGAGCCTCATTGCTACTGGAGCAACCACTCTCCACGTGCCCACTGGACCCCAGGGGATCTCATTGCCAGTAAGTCAAGGGCAGTCACCACTTCAGTATGCTCCTCTAACTAGGGCTGCAGACCCAGAAATTACAAAGTATGCAAATATGCACCACCCTTTGGGATTCCTGAGCCACTGGGGTAAGTTGTCAAGAGCTCATGGGAAAGTGGGCGCTTCCAGTCTGACAGCGGAGTATCTAGGATGACCCAGAACTGTCAGAAGTGTGAGTTGACTGCACCATGTGCTCCTTTGACAAAAGAGAGTATGCCAGGCTACCTCATAAAGGCTTGAGCTCTGCTTCCTTATGAACAAAGACAGTCAAACTTCTGGGGCAAGATTGGGACCATCTTTGTCTTAACACTTGATCTTAACCAAAAGGCCGAGAAGCAATCCATCTTTGTTTTAGGAATCACACCTTGATGCATCCTTTATCTTAGATTTAAAAACCAGACAAAATATTTTAACTGTAAACTATCATTGCAAGTATCAGAAGGGGAAAAACTGGTTTTTAGCCACCGATGACTCAATCCAAATACGAGGGCGTGGGGAGGACCCAGAGAGCATGGTTTTAGTTGTCTCTCTATCAAGGGAGTATTGGTTTCCCGATGACTTTCTCTGCAGTGGTTTCAGGCTTTAAGATGCCTCGCCTAATGACTCATCTTTGTCACGTACTTATGGTGTGTTCCATCAATAAGTCCAGTGCAGCTCCCCATGTACAGAAGGAGAAACAAGATCCATGAGCCCCCTGGGTCCTGAGAGTCAAGACCAGGGGCAGAGTTAGTCCTGAGTGGACAGATGTGCCCTGAGACGTCTCAATGGACAGAGAAAGTGTTATTGGACCGAGAGAAGGTGCCCCCAAACATTTACATTCCACATAGATTCTCTCTTCTTTTTGACATTTATAAAAGTCAGACGTTTGACGATAGTGTCTCTAAATCTAAAATCTAAAGCAAGGGATTTTTGTTGGTTTGTTTTCCCTTTCTTTGTCCCAGCTGCGGAATCCTGGTGGTTCCATGGTCTACCAGCTGGACTGCTGACTGTAAGGTTAGCAGTTCAAACCCACCAGCCACATCATGGGAGAAAGAGGAGACTTTCTGCTCCCAAAAAGAGGTACAACCTTGGAAACCACAGGGCCAGTCCTGCTCCATTCTACAGGGTCAGGAGGAGTCGAATTGCCTCATTTTCTCTCAGCCCAAATCTGTTCCTTTCTGATCAGAAGGACATTGCTTCCCCATCATCCTTCATGAGCTCAGGAAAGTTTATGATGTCTGTCATGCCAGTTTTAGATCACCATACTCGCTCTATTTTAAGTTTGGGCTCGGTTCCCCATGTATAATCTAAACTGTGCTTATATCTCAGTTCAGTGTTGTCCAATAGAACCTTTAGTGTTGATGGAAATCATTCCATCTCTGTACTGTCCAATATGGTAGCCCCTCCAGCCACACGTGACTAAGGAGCACTACGAATGAGCAACTGAGCTTTGAGTTATATTGCATTCTACATGGTATAGCCATTTAGAATGTGGTGGCTGGTGGCTGGTGGCTACCCTATTGCATGGTGTGACTCTAGATCACCTGGGGGCCACTTCCAGTCCCTTCCAGTTCCACACGGAGGACACTGCTGCCAGAGTCAGTGTCCTGAAGCACCCGCCACACCCCGGCAGTGGGGACTCATGACTCACAGGACAAAGGCTAAACTCCCCAGGAAGAAATATAAATTTCCCCCTCTGCCCCTTACCTACTCTCTACGTACCATTTGAGGCCTCCCTTCCTGTACCAAGCCTGACCCAACATTCCCTGCCGTTTCTCTCCTTGACAATGTGATTCAGGTCCTCTCCATTGTCCCCGAATGCCCCATTTATCTCTGCTTCTACAGAGCTCTTCCCACTTCAGGACATACAGTCCTCAAGGACGATGTCCTCCTTAAAGCCTTTGCAGATTCCCATCCAGTTCCCAAGGGGACAGTGAGCTCTTCCGGTCCCCGAGTCTTCTATTTGTGTCTTACATCCTAAACCCTCATTTGTGTTACAATGAAGAATCAGTTTACATAACCTTTTCTCTTAAATCTGATATAACGTATTTAGCCCACCACGATGATCAATTAAGTTCACTATTCAATTGGCATGCTGCTTATTCAGTCTTATGAGTGGAAGTTTCTCAGTGAATACATTCATCTGAACTTAATATCAAATTTATCTCACACAAAACATATAAAAAACTATCTCCATGACATCTTGAAACACGGGAACAAAGACCATGGGAATCCCATTCACAATACTGAAAAGAAATATTTGCCTCTCCTTAAATGGCTGATGGCCGACTAGGTCACTGTTTGGAGGCATCTGTCTATTTTTATATCTTACGTCTTACATTTTAGAACAATCTAAGTGTGTAAGAAGCCAGTTAGCTTACCTGGTAGTCATTGCGGTTGTGTCTGGTATAGAGCAGAAAGCGGGTGTTTATCTTTTCGGGAGACCAGGGGAGACCGGTCAAATGTTTCGACAAAGTCCCCATCCATGAGAAGTCATCTGAGAAGCATCCCAGCCTTTCATAGCAAACTTCTTTTCCTGTAACAACAACAACAACAACAGCAGCAGATGGCGTCAGTATTCCAAGAACCAGCCCTGGAGAGAGGCTGTGCGGCACACTGCCAGGGTTCATGTGAATTGTGTTTAAATGAAACCGTGTCTGACCCAGGGAGATGCTGCTCACATCACACTCTTCTTTCCCGCACCCTCTCCCCGCAACACACACACCGCATGACTCTGTAGATCCCTGTGAGGCTTTGGAAGCAGACCTTCATGGCTGTGGGCAATTGTCGTTCAGGAGTTTCAAGTTCTTCCTCTTAAAACTGGGAGTCTTCTACTTCCCTGGCACTCCGTCTTGTCACGAAGACTCACTGAGCTATGTACCTTGCAGCGCCCTTGCAGTGCATCACGTCTCCCTTTTCTCCTATGACAGCAGATGAAAGGGACCTATGTTCCCAAGGGCAAGCCCTAAGCCAGGAACACAGTGCGGAAGTTGCTGTTAGATGCCGCCGAGTCAGTTCTGACTCATGGCGGCCCTGTGTACAATGGAATGAGACACTGCCCAGCCCTGCGCCATCCTCACAATTGTTCTTTTGTTTGAGCCCATTGTTGCAGCTGCCGTGTCCATCCATCTCCTTGAGGACCATCCTATTTTTCTCTGCCCCTCCACTTTACCAAGCATGATGTCCTTCTCCAGGGACTGGTCTCTCCTGATAACATGTCCAAAGTAAGTGAGACTAAGCATCTCGTTCTTGCCTCTAAGGAGCATTCTGGCTGGCTGTATTTCTCCTAAGGCAGATATATTTGTTCTTTGGCAGTCCCTGGTACCTTCAATAGTCTTCATAATACCCTAGGTCAAATGTATCGATTTTTCTCCGGTCTTCCTTTTTCAAAGGGGTCCTCAGACTTTTTAAACAGGGGGCCAGTTCACTGTCCCTCAGACCATTGGAGGGCCGGACTAGAGTTTTAAAACAAACTGAACAAATTCCTTTGCACACTGGACGAGCCAGCTGCTAAGCAGGACAGGCAACGGCAGCAAAAACACCCGGTAGGCTGGATAAATGTCCTCGGCGTGGCCCGCAGGTCGTAGTTCAAGGACCCCTGCTTTCAAGAGTCTCGTGCAGCCGATTTACCTAATGCAATACGTTGCTTCATTTCTTGACTGCTGCTTCCAGGAGCATTGATCGAGGATCCAAGAAAGAGGAATCCTTGACAACGTCAATCTTTTCTCCACTTACCACAAAGTTACCTTCCCTACCAGTCCAGGTGTGAGGATTGGTATTCTTTTATTATTACTATTATTGAGTTGGTATTCTTTACCAAAGACGGTAATCCTTCCTCTTCATCAGCAAGTGCTTCAAGTCCTCCTCACTTTCAGCAAGCCAGGCTGTCATTTCCCTATCGCAGGTTGTTAATCAGCCGCCCTCCAGTCTTGATACTGCTTGTTCTTCATGCAGTGCGGCTTCTTTGATTGTTTGCTCAGCATACAGATAGATGAGCCTGGAGAGAGGACACCACCTGACACACACCTGTCCTGATCTTCATCCATGCCACAGTCCCTTCCTGTCCCAACCACTGCCTCTTGTTCTGAGAACAGATCCCACAGAAGCACAGTGAAGTGGGCTGGATTGCGCGGGTTCTTTGCGTGGGTCCCTGCGGGTTTCTGAGACTGTAGTTCTTTCGTTGTGTAGGGAGGAGAAAGCCTCTTCTTACTCCCGCTGAGTGGCCAGTGGTTTTGAAATGCTGGCTGTGCCGTGACGGCAGACTGAAGTGTCACCCACGAGAGCTCCCTGAAGGGAACAAAACTCCCTTTCACAGAGTTTCCACCAACGATCTTCTTCCTGCGACTCAGCTTAGGGATCTCTGAATGGAGACACTCTGGGGAGACTTGTCTTGGATTCTGATGGGCTCTGAACTGATCTTTTTACTACGATCTCTCCTTTACAGCTTTTCATTTAACACCCAGAGCAGAGTTGAAGCATGCAAAAATCATTTCATTTTATTGTTTTAATGGAGGGTTCATTAAATGTATTCAATGAAATGTTTACGATTATTTGTTTGTATCAGAGTTGCTTGAGGACAGGTGTTTGAGTATTTCTGTCCATCATTCATCAAAAATACTAACTACGAGGCTCACAGGGGCTCATTTTAGCTTCCAGCTTTCAGACAACTTGGTATTCTCTCCACCGATTCCCCGAGGATGGATGCGATTCCACATCAATAAACTGAGAGGACAGAGGATTATTTTGTACTCAAAGAGATATTTGTACAGTTGAACCAATATGCTGTCCACTCACAGTGACTATCTGTCTCCGTGTTAGACCAGGTAGACTAGAAAACAAATCCAGGGAGACTCATATGTGTCTAAGAGAGAGTTTTATATCAAAGAGTAATTATACATCAAGAAAACATCCCAGCCCAGTCCAGCTCAAGTCCATAAATCTGATATTAGCCCATATAGCCAATGCCAATCTATAAATTCCTCTTCAGACTAATGCAGAACATGCAACGACGCTGACTGCAGGAAGATCACAGCCCAGTGGGTGGAAAGTCTTGTGGATCCAGTGGCATTGTAAGCATCTCAGCACTGGCAGGGGTCTCCACATGCTGCTTCCAGCTCAGAGCTCTAGTGTAGCTCCATGTCTTCTCAGGGGCAATGTCTCCCATAGAGTCAGTGTGTGTCCCACCTCCAGCGAGCTATTTATCTCCTTACCACTTCCAATTGAGGTCATCAAGTTCTGACATGATCAACAGGCTAAACCCCTTCACTCTTAATCCTCTCTAATTATCAACAGACTATATAACTACCACAGTCTCCTTGGAGGAAATCATGTTTAAACATGTCTACAGTCCTTCTCTGGAAGAATGAGGAAGCAGTCAGATAAAGGTTGATGGAGCACAGAAATCCTGTGGGCAGTTCTACTCTGTCCTAGAGGGTGGCTATAAGTCAGAATCAACTCCAAGTTATCTGGTGCTAATAGACGCTGCTCTCTGATAATTCCCTACCATATCTGTGAAAATTGGACTTATCCTACTGGCTTCTTTATTTATCAATTCCAGGCACATGTGACCTGTGAACTTTCAGTAATAATCAATAAGGAATCACTCTCTTATTCCCTCTATTAGCCAGGGTCCAGTCAAGAAACTGAAAGCACACTAGTTACTTCCCTGTGAGAACAGCTAATTAGACAGCAGAGCACTGGAGTGACACAAGGAGCCAGTGCAATAGAACATTGCAAATGCTCCTTTAAAGAATTCTCAGGTCAAAGAGCAAATAAAACATGTCAAATGCAGAATACATGAAAGAATAATGATAGGAAAAACACAGCACCAAATTTCTGAAATAAAAACAACAGTATATTCATTAAAAAAAGCTATTCTTTAAATACTTAGAATTCTAAACTAGAAATTGTTTTTAAAATATAGTGAATGGATAGTTCGGGTCAAGAGAGTAGAAAGTCAGAAAGTAAAGTTGAAGAGAATTAATTAGCAGAACAAAAAATTAGAAATTAATGAATTCAAGAAATGGGGAGGGGGGAACAAATAGAATTACTAAATATCTGGTAATTGCTTAATAAAAGCAGTAAGATAGATAGCCCTGATGATAGATTGAAATAAATAAAGAGAAATAGCCGAGAATGTGGAGGAAATAAAAATGCTTATATGTTATACAAATTCATGACAAGAGGATTGAAATTCTAGATGAAAATCTCACCCCTTAAAACATAGCAAAAAGCCCCTGCCGTCGGGCCAATAGGACAAAGTCGAGCTAACCGATTAGGCTTCCAAGAGTATCAACCTTTACAACAACAAATTGTTCCATGGTTTCCCAGCAGAGCAACTGATGGGTTTGAACCAGCAACTTTTTAGTTAGCAGCCCAATAGGCAACTCATTGTGGTACCAGGGCTCCTTCTGTCCCTCCATACCATTTTATTGCCACCAAATCAATTCCAGCACATCACAACCCTGCATAGAGTCTATGAGGCTGTACATCTTCACAGGAGCACACAGCCTCATCTTTCTTCCTTGGCGCAGCTGGTGGCTTTGAACTGACAGCTTTGCTGGTAGCAGCCCGATGCCTAACCCACAGCGCCACCAGGGGCTCTTCCTGATTTCTTTACATGAAACTTTTAGATGGATTTTGATAAACCTCAGATACATGAAGACTTAGACATAAACATAAAACAAAAAAAGCCAGGGAAAGAAAACAATAAAATTGTTGACAAACTTGGTCTAAACCAGTGGTTCTCAACCTTCCTAATGCTGTGACCTTTTAATACAGTTCCTCATGTTGTGGTGAC